CTGTCGAATAATGTAGAATACATCTATTTCAACCCTTTTTCTAGCAAAATCCTGCCAAAATTCTCTATGGCAAAAACTGAAAATTGTCTCCATCCTAACTCAGCCAGTATGAGTCTGGCAGTTGGGACATTTTTATCGGATACTCGGCAAAGACAGAGGAACAAAACGTACCATTCAAATGTTTTTTAATGAACACTTTCATTTTTTTTTATTGATTGTACCAGAAAGCTACGTTTCTCTCATGTATATACTTCTATGATATTAAGTAATGTTCTTGAATTATATATTAATGATAATAAATGTTCAATACCGGACCCGGCAAGAGCTTTTCAAATAACACGCATAAAATTTTTGATGCATGCCAATCTCCTACAAAAAAGAAGCATATTTTTGAGTTACAAATAAGATCATCATATCTTATCATTGCTTGCATATCGCAAGTACAGTTAAGCAGATACAGAGCGAGAGTTAAATACATTATGCTGATTGCTCATTCAAAAAAACTCAAATATAATTCTTAAATGATGTTATGGCTTTTTCAACTGGTAGTATATTGCTTTCATGAATTTATCTTAGTACCTGGTAGAGAAACATTTTATCATATAATGGTTGTTTTTCATCTTTCATTGATTTGAGAGATTTATATATAGATTCATAACATACAATACATGCTTCCTGTTGATGTTGTGAATCAATGAGTGATTTTTTTGTTGTTAATAATATTTCTTCGAGAGCTTCTTTTGTATGTGCTGCATGAATAACTGGCGAGCCATATATAAATTGTGAACGTTGATATCACTTTCTATCAACAATGTATTTTGAAAAGAATCCTGATAATAATGGCATTTCTTCTGAACTAGGGGTGGTACATTACTGTTACTTTTACAAGTATCAAAATATTGTAACTATTCCTGTTATCACTAACAGTAATACTTTCCAGTTTTATTGTTGCTGGTACAAATTTTTAGAACATTCCTATTACCAGCAACAGTACAACTGAAAAGTATTGCTGTTACTGATAACAGGAATATTTACAATATTTGGATTACTCGTATACAGAGATGGTGATTGCATTCTTCCTATCTGTGCACATACATTGGTCGATGTCTTGAAGGTCAACAGAACAATTACACGACTATTCTTCACGAATGGTTCGCTAAAGTAAGAGAGTCGGATTTTTTTCGGACATTTTTAGCGAAAGGGTCAGATCGACGTAGACAGGTTGAGAAGTTTACAAATTTACCATACAGGATAGTTCATAGAAGATTTTTTTTCGCGGAAATATTATTCCTTCAAACGTTGTAGCAAAAACAAAAAGACTTCTTTTCAAGGATGCGAGTTATGAAGTTAAAACCGCTATAACGCTGGAAGGACCATGTTTTCAACGGAAAAAATTGAAAAGCTGAGATATTTTGCCTAGTGTAAAAATTTTAGCCCGTTTGGATCAATTTTTTGGCGTGGTCGTAATATAGCCAGATGTGAGCTGGGAGATTTTGTGGCTCAAGTTATTCTCGCAAGACATCATAAAAACGGTACCTCTCGTACGAAGTTCTAACTTCTCGAAAAATTGAACCATTGATCTTTAATTTATCGAATTAGTCTTTCAAAGAAAACCTATTTGTTCTGCATGATAAATGCTGAAAAAGTGAAACTTTCGATGTTCATTTTGAGTATATTTAAATTTTGAACTTCTCGAAAGTCACAACAGCTGTGAAATATCTCATTTTCATGAAAATTTTGTCCACTGTAATTTTTTTGTCCCAACCAAAATCGAAAAGTTTGATAGCAAAAAACTCTTTGTGTTTTTTTACCTTTTAAGTGATGATGATTTTGAAATGATTACAAGTGAACTGAAGAAAAATGATGCAAATGTAAAAGCATTGTATACGGCAAATAATTCTCAGCTGACTGTTCGAAGTGCACCATATTTGAGTGAAATGATTGAAGCAACAACAAAATTAGTCAAGATAAGCTTTGACGAAAAAAGTATTGATGACACATGGGCAATTCAAATTGCTTTAGCAATGAAAGTGAACAGATCAGTGAAGACCCTCTGGCTACATCATTGTCGGATTAAAGATGAAGGTGCTAAGGCACTTGGGGAGGCTTTAGCGATAAATCATACTTTGACAGATTTAGGATTGAATTTCAATCCAATTCATAGTGGTGGTGCTGCAGCCTTGGCAATGGGACTGCAACAGAATGCAACGTTAACGTTTCTTAATATGAGAGGTCTCTCAAAAACAAGTGAGGGAGCTAAAGCATTGTTAAATGCTAAAAGTGGCATACTCCGTATTGATTTTTGATTTTTGTAATCCTTTTTTTTCTTCAAAGAAAAAGCTTTTTTTTTAACACGAATATCCGTTATTCTCGAAACATTTCTAATAAGCAAGATTTTCATTACCGAAAGTTCTACGAATTTGCTGATCGGAGATAATCAATCACTTCTTCGAAACTTGTAGAGATAGATGCGGAGACGTGTTTATTGCTAAAAAATGCTTTTTGATTTTGATAGTTTGAGCGAACTACGTTCATGAGAATGAAATAAAATGACGAGAACTACAACCCTAGTAAGAAACCTATGTATTTCTTGACAGGATCCTTGAGAAATCCTGGTAGTTTTAGCTTTTCAGTTTAGCTTACTCCACAACATCAGTAAATATCAGTCAAGTCTGAGACACCTCTCCAGCCAACCGGCACCATTTTTCAAAAACACTCTTAAACATTGCAAACGGAAAGCTTTGCTCTGAATCCATAAGCTGAATAACAACCCATTTGATTCCTATTTTATACCGCGAATAAAAAATTCGGTACTCTCAGCTTTTCTTGAGTTATTTGTCTCGTATGTGGATTGAGGGATTCGAATTCCTCGTAGCTTAAAGCTGTGTTCGTAGAAATTCATTAAGGGTAATTTGAAGACCGACCATTTTGATTTCTACTTTAATTCTGTAGTTCAGTTTGATCTAAAGTTTCTGTGGAGATCCCACGAAGTCTACACAAAAAATGAAAATGATGAGCTTTTATTCTGCCCGTGGGTTTACATACCGCTAAATCATATTGAGCTTGAAGAAGACTGTGTTTTAAATCGGTAAATGTTGGTCGTTGTTCTGCTGACATTATAAAGCATTTGTCAATGACAGACCACATTCTGGCAGAGCAACTTGTTGGTTTTGTAAGTTTGTCTCCACGAGTAATTCGTTGTCGCACTTCGTCATCAGACTCAATCTTTGACCATGGTACAGATCCCTTTGAATAAGCTTCCCACATTAATACACCCATTGAATATACATCAGATTTTTCAGAATATAAGTCATTTATTAATACTTCTGGCGCAACGTAACGTATTGGAATGATATTAATCATTGTCCTGGTTACGGTATTCGTGGGAGCATATAATTTACTGTGTCGACTAATTCCGAAATCAGTTACCCTAACAAGATTTTTACGTGGTTCATGTTCATCGAGTCGAAAAACTAAGATGTTACGGCAAGCTAAATCTCCATGAACAATGTGATTATGTGCTAAAAAGACCATAGCATCGGCTATTTGGGTAAATATTTCTCGAAGAATGTTTTCATCTAGTATTAAATCATGTTGTAAAACTTCATATAAATTTCCCTCTGGTGCATATTCTTGAAGCAACATTACTGAGTTGCCATCTTCATTACTGCCGCTGTCAACGATACCAAATGTACGTACAATGTGTGGATGACGAGTTAATTCTACATAAAATGATGCTTCTTTCATAGCACGTGCTCCATCGATCTTTAATAAAACGATTCTCGGACGACTTTCACGTGCTTCTGTTTTCATCCATTCAGCTTCATAAATCGTTTTACCAAATGTCTGAA